AAAAAAAAAAAAAAAAAAAATCTGTATGACTGCATCTTAATGCCATAGGACATCTCTTAGAGCTACTGATTTGAAGGACTCACCCTTGTTCATTTCCATATACTTTAAAGAAGCCAATGGGGGAGGTGGCACACTATCTCTTTTGGCATAAAAGGTCATAATACAAATTGGTATCACATTTCTAGGAAGCTAAAACCTTCTAGCTGGACGTGGTACCGGACATTGAACCCAGTGCCTTGCACATCCTAGGCAAGTGCTCTTCTACCGCACTATTCTTGGCCCCTTGTTAACACATACATTGTTTTAAGTTTTGAGACACTTTCTCACTCAGAGCCCATGCCGGGGTCAAACTTATAATTCTCCTGCTTCAGCCTTAGAGTAGCTAAGATTAGATATGTACCACCACACACAGCTCTAAAAGCAAAGCCTTCAGCCAGGGAGATAGCTCAGTAGAATAAGCACTTGCCTGGTAAGCACAAGGGCCTGAGTTCAATGCCCAGTTCCACCAAAAATAAATAAATACATAAGTAAATAAAGCAAAGCCTTTTAAAGCATATTCCACTTAACAGAGGAATCACAATTCCATGATACTGTTTAAGGAATGAAGAAAAAACAAACACTTTTTACACCAGTGGTGGTGAAGTTATGGTACATGTGTCATTGTATATTTAAGACAAAAGATGTTAACATATATTTTTTCTAAAACAAAACCTCAACATTCAGGTTTAATTGCTGTGTTGGCACTCTGTGATAAATAAGTGGGTTTGGGTTGCAGTTTGGGCACTTGGGTTTCAAGACGGTTGACCGTCACTGTTCTATAAAATTAGAAAAGAAACATAGTAATCATCCAATATGAAATAACAGGTTAAATAAATTATGGTGTTCCTATTCAGTAGACTACTACAAACCTGTTAAAAACATTAAATCCATATTTAGATGTAGAAAATGTTGTATGATAAACTGTTTAATGAAAGGAGCAAATATAAGAATACATTACCGGGCTGGTGAGATGGCTCAGTGGTTTAAAGCTACTTAGAACAAGCTTAGCAAAGCACAGGGACCACAGTTCGATCCCCCAGCACCACATGCCAGCCAGCCCTGCCCCTAGGTGGGCTGAGCTGGCCACACACACACACACACACACACACTAAATAAATAAATAAACTTAAAAAAAAAAATACATTACCATTAAAATACAAAGTCATTTATATGTTTATAATGTGAAAGATCATATAGCAAGTGTTACTCTCAGAGAAACAGTAATATAACTAATCTTCTACTTATCTGGGTTTTATAAATTTTACAATAAACATTATTAATGAAAAAATAAGGGGTTTTTTTGTATTTTAGGGAAGGGTCTACAGGGTGTTCAGGGTCTCACTACTAGATCAGACTCGTAGTGCTTCTCCTGTTTACAGCCTCCCAAGTGCTGGGCCCAGTCTCAATTACTGTTTTAGCATGCCCCAGGGGCGGGGCCGGCATGGTAGGATTGGGGATCAAACCCTCAGCCCCTGTACCTGTTTACAGGTACTTTAATCCACTGAGCTATTTGGCCAGCCCATAAAAGTTATTTTAAAGAAAACAACAAATCAAAAACATCATGTTACTTCCCAGCCTAACATAAATGAATACATTTCTCCATGTAAGAAACATGCAAAAAAGAAATGTGATGTGCCAGCCATGGTGATGCACACCTATAATCCCAGCACTTGGGAGGCTGAGACAGGAAGACTGCCACAAGTTTGAGGCCAGCTTGGGGTACACAGTGAGACCCTGTCTCAGAAAAAAAAAAAAAAAATACAAAAAAGAAATATGCCATGTACATACCAGGAGTTCATCCATGCTAGTTTGACACTTCTCAAGATTTATTCGTTTAATCGCCACTTTCTCCTTTTTAGGGGCACAATAAGCTGCTTGGACCACAGCAGTTGCTCCACTCCCTAAAAAATAAATAAATAAATAAGTAAATAAATAGATGGACACATTAAAACATGACATTTCTAATTCTTATACAATTTAAACAAGGCCTATTTTTATAACATTCCTAAAGCGAACAACAGCTATAGAAAAACGTTCAAAAGAGTGAAGTCTTTAAAAGTAAAAGCCTTAATCATTTCAGTATTTTTTGCCAATAAATACCAATGCAAAAAATTCAAAATTGGCATAACCCTAATTCTAGCAGAGGCTTGTATATACCTGCTCCTCTCCTCCAAATACAAATAAACACCCTAAAAATAATTCAAAACACACCCCTAAAAGGCTCTGGAAGATGGAAAGGAGGAAGCAATCTAGCCAGGGACCTCAGAATTTCAGCAAAGCACAATAGTTTGCTGGGTTTTCCTTTTATCTCCCATTTTTCCCAGACAGGACAACAGAGAGGCCTCCCACGAAGAAGCACCATCAGAGAGGGAGCAAGCAGGGGCAGGATAGACAGGTATGTGAATAGATGGATGGATAGGTGCACAGATAGACTGGTAAACAAGGAAGAAAATCCTCCTCTCTGGATGAATGACTGTGCAGTGGCTGCTCAGCAGAGATGCAGTGTCGAGAAACCTTGCCTAGTCCTCATCCAGGACAGTAATGGACCCAATTCACACAGCATCAGCAAGCTCCTCAACCCACATCCAATACAGCAGCAGGCCACATTCACCACAGTGGCAGCTAGGTCTCTGTCACATAGCCATATGAATGCCAAGTTCATACTCTCACCAGTGAACCACAACAGCACCTGCAGAAATAGAATAGTAGTTCCAGGGTTTCAGGGTTTTATTTCAGAAAAATAAAGCAAAAGAAAATAGCACTTGCAAGACCTAAGAAACTCATTCCCCACCAGTGCATTACTTTTACTGTTTTCCACCACCATGAATAGTTGCCCCTCTGCCATATGCCACCCTACTTTGGAACCAACCAATTACAGACTGAAACCTCTACAAACAGCTAAATAAACTTTGCCCCTTTAAAAAAAAAAAAAAAAAACACCTAGGAAACTAAATTACCATAGGAATTACAGCTCACAAAGGTAGGACAGGAAAGATAGAGTAAACCTAAATAGGATGGCTACTTGCTAAAAATTTAAATAGAATCAAGTCTCTCTGATATTATAACTAGATGTCCAAGATACAATTAAAACATGTCTACCAAGAACCAGGAAAAACACATCTGAACAACAAAACACAATTCCAGCATGGCAGACATCTATAATTCCAATACTCTAGGAGACTGAAGCAGACGGATTGGGAGTTCAAAACCAGCCTAGCAATTTAGTAACTTAGTGAGACCCTGTCTCAAAATAAAAATTAGAAAAAGGGTAGGGTGATATCAAGGAAATAGCAGTAGCTCAGTCCTACAAGTGACACCTGGCTCCAGTAAGCATCATGGACACTGTCAACGTCCACCAAATACTAGAACTTCGTGTGATATTCTATCCCCAAACTGTTAGAAGTGCTGGTCATATATTTGCCATTCCAGCATTTTTGTTATGTTTTATTCTTAGTAATTCTTTACTATCATGAAAAAAAAAAAAAAAAGAAAAAGGGTAGGGTGGGTAGATTAGTACAAAGACCCTGACTCAGTTCAATACCCAATACTGCTAGGGGGAGGGAAGAGGGACCAATCATACTGACACAAACACAAAGATCAATCAGACATCAGAATTATCTGACAAGAATTTTAAAGCCACAATCATAAAAATGCTTCAACAAATACTCGTGGACCCCAGTGAAACAAATAAACAAAAAAAATTTAAATCTCAGCAAAGAAATGGCAGTGGGGTTGGGAAGAAGTCTGGAAAATGAAGCCAGGACTTTGCCATATAGTAAGCATGTGCTCTGTCACTGAGCTATACCCTCAGCTCCGGAAGTTACTTTCTAACAGACACCAAATGAAAACTGAATGACTGAAAAACAGATCTCCTGAGATAAAACATTTGTTAGAGAGGTTCAAAACAAATAAACACTGATACACACAACATGTGTATACCCTAAAAACAATGTAAGAGAAGCCAAGCACCATTTATATGAAAATATTCAGAACAGGGAAATCTACAGAGAGGAAAAAAATAGATTAGAGATTGTTAGGAGCTAGAGAAAAAGAAAAATGGGAATGACTAACAGATACAAGCTTTTTCTTCCTGGAGTAATAAACATGCTCTGGAATTAATCAAGTATATACTCTTTTAAAAAAATTTCTCTTTTCTCAGGCTTGTTGCGCACGACCTCGCCAGCAAGGAAGACGCAACACACAGCTCTTCCTTCAGCG